AGGAACAAAATTTCTTTTTAATACAATAGCCTTTCACAAAATATAATGAACAGCCACAGATTTCTGAGTACAAATTTGTGCAACTTGCTCAAGTAACGGAAACTGGATGGCCTCAGGAATGCAGTAACAGTGTTTTTCTCCAGTGCCTTTATGATTTGTTGTTATTCAGAGCATTAATAGCTCTTTCCCTGAGTGTATTAGTTCGGGTTTTGTGAACCCTCTAGCGCCAACCGGAAGGCAATAGTTTGAACATATGATGACATGAGTGAGCTGAGTCCATGACAATTTCCATTGCTCTGCTGAGGTAGCGAGAGCTGGCAATGTCATCCAGGAATGGGAGGGAGCAGCCAGTGAGCTTCTTGATCACTCTAAGCAGCACTTCTCCTGTTGGCTGCAGAGCATTCAGCATACCACAGCGTGGTGCAGTATGTGAGGATGCTTTCAATGGTGGCTCAGTAGAAGGTCAGGATCAGCTGCTCCAGAGCACTCTCAAGAGGTGGAACCACTGCATGGCTTTCGTTCCCACTGCTGTGATGTTCACAGTCCAGGACAGGTTCTCTGAGATGTGAGCGCCCAGTAGTTTGAATGAATGGACCCTTTCAATGAAGGACCCATTGATGAGGAGTAGGGCCGGATCTGTGCTGCGTTTACGGAAGTCAAGTACAGTGGTACCTCTACTTATGAACGTCTCTTCATACGGAATTTTCAAGTTACGCAATGCCTCAACAGGAAAATATTGCCTCTTGTTACGAAAGAAATGAAAAGATACGAAAACTAAAATATAGTATGGGCTGCTACTCGTTGCTCCAAGTTTGCCGAACGCAACATACTTTTATAGCTCCTCTGCCATTGGCTACGACTGAGCATCATCCTGGCATCCCATTGGCTCAGAGGGACCACTACCGTATGTGTCTATATGTGTAGATAGATGAATAAATAGATATGTGTCTTTGCAGCGTCCTCGTCATTCGCCCCTCGAGCCATGAGGTGTTCCGATAGTTTTACATAAATGCGAATCACCCAGAAAAGTGTTCACCAGTCAGGCGATCGCTCACTATGCTGATGTTTGCCTTGGACATTTTCGAAGGATTGTTAAAAGCCAACACAAGCAAACATCCTTGGATCAGTTCATTACCAAACACCAGGCAAAAAACACTTCTGAGAGAGAATATGAACTAAAGGGGGCAAAAAACGATGAGGACGCAGTTAAAAGTTAAATTACCATCATTGTTCGTCTTTATTCTTTGGGGTTTGTTTTTACATTATGCACAACTCTCATTTATTGTGCAATAATGTAATTGTAACGTATTAGTTACATATTTTTGATGCATTTTTATGCTTTAGGAAACATTTTTGTCTGAATTTTGGGGGGGCTTGGAACGGATTAGGGCATTTACATGGAAAACGCTTCCCTACTTACAAAATTTTCTAGTTAAGAAATTTCTTCAAGAACCAATTCATTTCGTAAATAGAGGTACCACTGTATGAGTTCTTTTGTCTTTGTGATGTTCAGTCTCAGATTGTTCTCTAAACACCATGCTGATAGTCTCTCAGCCTCACCTCTGTAGGCAGACTCATCTCCTGAGATGAGCCCGACTATGGTGGTATCATCAGCAAATTTGATGATGGAGTTGAAGAGATGGTGGGGGCTGGTGTGAGTGGTCTGCATGTTATGAGTCATGCAACTTTGAAGCGGGAAATGGGAAGAAATGGTTCGGTTGCTCTGCCTGGTGAAGCGTCAGCGTCCACAGACGCAGATATACTGTCTTTCTAATTTGAGATGTGTTGGATGCACTGCGGGCGGCCCGGTGGTTGACTGGTTAGCGCATCGGCCTCACAGTGCAGAGGTCATGTGTTCGATCCCGGCTCCAGCCTTTCTGTGTGGAGTTTGCATGTTCTCCCCGTGCCTGCATGGGTTTTTCTCCGGGTACTCCGGTTTCCTCCCACATTCCAAAAACATGCGTGGCAGGCTGATTGAGCACTCGAAATTGTCCACAGGTGTGAGTGTGAGCGCGGATGGTTGTTCGTCTCTGTATACCCTGCGATTGGCTGGCAACCAGTTGATAATAGACTCCAGCCTATCCTGCGGCCCTTGTGAGAATCAGCGGATCAGAAAATGGATGGATGGATGGATGAATAAATATTACATTTTGTGTGGTATTTGTACAATGAGAAAACAAATAAGTCAAGTGTGATTAGTCTGCTTTTAGATTAGGGAATGTCAAACTCATTTTTCTCGCGGGCCACATTATAGTTCACGTATGACTGAAATTCGATAAAGAAGTCAGGAATAGCAGTTCATTCAACTATTATTAAGTTACTATAAGTAGGTGTTTGGTAACAAGAACATGCTGAAGGTATCTTTTATGTATTACATATAAGAATTAGAAATTTTGGTGCAGATTTGAGCAAGAATCATGGAAGTTGACATGCTTGATTTGCTTTCATGGGCCACATAATGATCTGGCACGCCGGGCCTTCAGCTTGACATCTGTGTTTTAGATTAATTGATGGACTAGCTTACAGCATTTAATTAACCGACAATGAAAATTGAAAATCATGACATGTACGGCTAGGGAAAATAAAAACTCCAAAAAAATTGGTTGACACAAAAAAATGTCTCCCTCAAAACTAAAATTAATACTTTTCATGCAATTCAAATTTATCTGGATAACACTCTAAAAAAACACTGCTACATCCAAAATGCTGAACATAAAGCAAAACTCGGGTATATGACAACAAAGACAGTTAAAACAATAAATTAATAACTTAAGCGGTGAACACAATACAACACTAAAGCAGGTGGGCCATTTCAACTCAAGGCTCACATTGAGGAAAATCTATTCCTAAATGGGCCGGACAGGTAAAATCATGGCATATACAATTTCTGTCAATACAGATTTTCACTATGTACAGGCCGGCCTTGTCTCCAGTCCCACGTGAATAACAGGGTTGGACTGGAAATATATTGTTAAAAAAGAACTAAAACTCGTTTTGGTCTCCTATATATCGCAAATGCTGCAATGCTATTATGACATCAGTCATGTCAAAACCCGAATCAGTTCCAGACGAGGGATGTGGATTTCAGTCTTGTTCTTAAATTCCTCAGTGAGAGGACGGACTCCTCCATATTTGAAACCAAAGTTGTGTTCTCTCGCCTGAGTCACGTGACTGAATCCTGCTCAGTGATCCACATTAAGAACACTTATCACTTCCTCTTTCTTGGGCGTCTCTGCACACTGATTTGCCGCTTTATTATTTCATGACTTCCTCCTACTTTGCAGCCAATCAGTGGACCCGAACGGGTGCATTTTTGTGACAGTCTTAATTCTCTATAATTTAAAATTGCACATCGTGAAAGCAACTTTGACAATAATGTTAAGTTCAATATAAATTGCCTGCCACTAGTTTTATGGAATTTGAATTAACCACAAAAATGAACCCAAATTTATCCATCTTTATGGGCTGCCAGTTTGCCTTGGACTGTCACTAGTTGTCAACTGCAAATGAAATCCCAGTACTGAAGGGCTCAGGTCGCAAACGTCATGGCTCACTTGTCCTCCGGGTTTGATCCCAACGATTGTTGCCATCCCATGATCATCCAAACCCTCAACCAGGCAAGGAAGAAGTCCCATTTCGGGAAAAAGCAGAAACTTGGAGAAGAGACCACGGTTAAATGATGGTCGAATGATGGGCGAAACTTGTTAAATTTTCCACACATATGTGGCCCAGCCTAAATAAATAAATACATACATACATACATACATACATACATACATACATACATACATACATACATACATACATAAATAAATAAGATGGTTAAGATATATAGATCGATCAATCATGTTAGTTTTTTTATTTTATTTTTATAATTGACATAAAAAGAAAATCTTATTCCTGGGTGCCAGTAAGCAAAAGTGTCAGTACCCCAAAGTGGCCTAGGCTGGGAGAGCTCTCCATAGCTGCTTTAATTTAATTTACCGTAATTTTTTTATACCATATTTTCCGCACTATAAGGCACACCGAAAAGTTTTCCATTTTCTTAAAAGCTCTCAGCGCACCTTAAAATCTGGTACGTCTTGTGTATGGTCATTACGGTAATTTGTTGACCCCAAGATGGCTCCTTGCTGGAGACATGCTTACAATGTTATAACTTGCTGTTGGTTCAGTGAACTGTGTCGCTGCTTTATTAAATACGTTTTTGTTGCAGCTCCGAAAAAAGGAGAGCTGTGGTGTTGTTTTTTAAAACGCACTTTATTAATGTTTTTCACAGTCTCAACAAATACAGGTACGTCTTTGTCCAGCTCCGTGCCTTCTCTTCTTCCGTTCGACTCCAGAGGCATTCATGACCGCCTCCGAAAAACGTAAATTAACGATTCCTTCAATGAAACAACGAAAATTGAAAATAATGCATCAAAACAGAAAATCAAGCGAGGAAATCATAAAATAAATTCTATAGCCCCCCGACAGAATTTATTTTGTGATTTCCTCGTTTGTGAATACAGTACACAACAAAGGAATAAATAACAAACACTTCTTAGACAGTCCAATTGCCTACATTTTACTGATATCTTATCATTCTGTTAGAGCTGTGCTCAACGAAATGCCAAAATAAATTCTGTAGGGGGGGCTATAGAATTTATTTTGTGATTTCCTCGCTTGATTTCCTGTTTTGAAGCATTATTTTCAATTTTTGTAGTTTCATTGAAGGAATCGTTAATTTATGTTTTTCGGAGGCGGTCATGAACGCCTCTCGAGTCCAACGGAAGGAGCGTAGCGCCATCTAGTGGATGCATTGTAGATTGCGTTTTATAATCCAGTGCGTCCAATATATGAAAAAAATTACAAAATAGGCCATTCATTGAAGGTGCGCCTCATAATCCAGTGCACCTTTTAGTGCGGAAAATACGGTAGTTGGATGGATTAATTTGTTGTTTAAATACCCATTGACTTGACTGCATACTGTACTCATGTTTCTTTTTTTTTTTTTGTCACAGCCACCTGTGAGATGTGTGGAATGATTGGAGTCCGAGATGCTTTCTATTCCAAAACAAAGCGTTTCTGCAGCGTTTCTTGTTCCAGGAGCTATTCTTCCAATTCAAAAAAAGCAAGCATATTGGCGAGACTCCAGGTAAGGTGTTTGCTCCTCTGCTGTTTCCTAAAATCGTATGAATGTACAGTAAACCAAACAAATCGTCCTGTCTGCTTGGATTTTACTAGGGCAAGCCTCCAACAAAAAAGGCAAAAGTCTTACAGAAACAACCTCTTGTAGCAAAGTTGGCAGCTTACGCTCAGTACCAAGCAAGTCAACAGAACCAGGCCAAATCGAAAGCTGGTATGTATGGTTGTTACAAGTAGGGCTGCCAAGATTAATTGACTAGTCACAACCGTCGACAGCTATTTTAAGAGTCAACATCAGCGTTATTGTTTTCGCAGTTTCTTTCCTCCCGAAACTGCCTCGTCTTCTACTGTTCCTCCTGACCCTCTGCTTTTCTGATAGGCACAGGCACAATAGTGGTAATCTGGGTCATTTGTTATATAAACAGAAGCGCTGTGGGTAATCCAGTGTCATGGCTAAGCGGTGTTAACAATGCTGTCTGAAATTTAAGTGGGTGCATTTCGCCAAAAGTATGTAATGTGATGCAAACCTCTACTACCCCTTTCCCGCTGCCGCAAAATCACGGGTAAACACGCTTTTTTGAGCAGTGGGAAAGGAGTGTCGATCCGTGCCGATCCGTGCCCACCAGCACGCCATCGGAGGTGGGTTGTGATCGCCTCGGATCGCCTCCGCTTGCAGTGTGAAAGCCTAACACAGGACTTCCTGGTAATTACGTGATGACATAGGGCCGGTACGTGATGAGTCATAACATCGCGCACCATCGGCCTCGTATATAGCAGTCCCCCACAACAAAGCTAGGAGATCGCCCCTGAAGCTGTTGTCTCAGTAGTAGCAAAGAGTTGATCCTCCACTGCTTTTCGACCATTTTGAGGACGGTAAAAAGCATGATAAAAGAAGGAACACTCGCTTCCATGTTGCTTTGTTTACCACTAAGAAATCTGTCGCACTATCATCTACGCAATCACAGCGTGGTGATGTAACCAGACGCAAAGTGGTGGTGGTGGGGTGGGGGTGGGCTGTGGGGGGTGGGGTGGAGGCGCAGAATCGCCTTCTGTTGGTCAATGGGAAAGGGACAATTTGCCAATTGGTTGCGTGTCGCCACGGATCACCACGACCTGCTAATTTCAGTGGGAAAGGGGTATAACTTTCATGGCAAAAGGAAAACACATTGTCTCTGATGCCTGACTATCTAAGCACACACAGGTAATGGTGTGTGTTTGACGGAGGCACTCTGAACAACCAAAACGCAGTTTATTGTAAGACCGCAGCGATGTCGAAACATGAACAACGCACATTCCGACACCCACGAACAGAGCAATGTTTTCAAGAACTCAAACCGGAGCACGTAAAATAACAGAACTTTGCCACAAAACAATAAAACGCACAAAACCCACTTCATTATAAAATACTGCATTACAGTGCTAATAAAATACATTCTTCCTAATCTTTAAACATTTTTCCCCCCCGTTTCATTTGCACAGCTCATTTTTATTTTGTAGACCAATGAATACTTTTAAATTAAACATACTAGTGAAAAGCAAAGCAAAACATCTTGAATACATTTAAATTAAAAACATAAAATCTTTACCACAGTACCTTTTCCTAATTTTACTCATCTGATTTCACAATCTTTAACATTTAAAAAATGCTTGATGCCTGAAAAAAGTGAAATCATGCATTCTATCAGTCAAGCATTTCTTTTTGCGTTTATAGGTAGTTTCATAGTCATCGTTGAAAGTGTTTTTTTTTTTTTTTTTTTTTTTAAGGCTCAAGCCATACATCTTAGCAATGACTGTATTGAAACTTGAAATATCAGGAACAAAATCCTGAACATGAATCCTATTCAGACCCACGAAAGCATTATACCGGTACTTTCTTTTCATCAGTCATCTAAGCTTTATTGACACACCTGAGTTGACACATGGTTGTGATGTTCGCGCGGCTGTGCATCAGATCTGGGAAATAAATTATTAAATATGTCCATGCATGTACGCGATTGGGAAACACCACCAAAAAGAATTCGAGCTGTAAAGCCTGGCGTGCACTAGGCGCAATTGGCCCTCATTGCCCACATGTACTCGGTATGACCCAGTATGTGCCATCGGCGCCTAGGATTGAACATGTTTGATAATTTCGGTGCTCCAGCGCCATCCGCTCTTGGTGTGTGGGACACATGAGCCAACCACACACTGATATTATTCACCGCACATATGCTCTTCATACATCTCATATGGCGGCACCCAGTGATTACATTTTGGAGGCTCTCTGGGGACAAATTTGTTGATTTCTGGCAAGATTATGCCTGCCTTGATGAGGTCAGGTCCCCAGAATGTAAGGCTTTCACCGTATTTCACGAGAAGCAGCCCTCAGTCTTCTTTTTCGGTGCACAGTGGTACCTCTACTTCCGAAATTTTCAAGGTACGAAACGCCTCAACAGGAAAATATTGCCTCTTGTTACGAAAGATATTTCAAGATACGAAAGGTAAAAATACAGTGTGGGCTGCTACTCACAGCTCCGAGTTTCCTGAACGCAATATACTTCTAACTGCTCTGCCATTGCCTACTACCGAGCACCCTCCTGACTATGTCTGTGTGTAGATAGATAGATATGTGTCTATGCAGCATCCACGTCATTCGCCCTTCCGATAGTTTTAAGTAAATGTGAATCACCCAGAAAAGGTGTTCCCAAGTCGGCCGATCGCTTACTCTGTTGATGTTTGCCTTGGACATTTTCGAAGGATTGTTAAAAGCCGACAAAAGCAAATGCCCTTGTATCAATTCTTTACAAAACGCTAGGCAAAAACCACTTCAAAGAGAGAACATGAACTCAACGGTGCAAAAAAACGAGGACGCAGTTAAAAGTTAAATGACCATCATTTTTATTATTTACTATACTCTGTTTTTTTTACATCATGCGCAACTCTCATTTATTGTGCAATCTAATTGTAAAATGTATTTGTTACATATTTTGATGCATTTTTATGCTTTAGAAAACATTTATGCCTGAATTTTGGCGGGGCTTGGAACAAATTAGGGCATTTACATGGAAAACGCGTCTCTACTTACAAAATTTTCGAGTTAAGAAATTGCTTCCAGAACTAATTAATTTTGTAACTGGAGGTACTACTGTATTAGCAAAACATACAACAAATATCACTTCAGCTTCGACATCAATTGATCCTGACTCATAGTTGCCATCTTAAATGGTCACATGATCCCAAACACGTGATCAACGCAACTTTAAGCATTTATGCCAACGGCGCCTAGTGTGTGGTGAACAGCACCATAGGTGCTCCCGCCGCTGATGGCGCAATTCCAATGGTGCCTTGTGTGCACTGGGTTTAAGCTAATGATGGTCTTCGAGCAGCTGCTTGCTGGTGTGATATACTGCTATTTACATACGATCTGATTATTCGGAATATCACGACTACTATCAGTTACTAGTCAACCAGCAATACAGTTGTTTGTGGCAGACCTACTTAATTAGATCAATGTTGTTCTTTGAATCCTCTTCTGTTCTTCACACATTCATATGTGTTTCGACCAGTGGTTCCATCTGAAAGCTTTGACTGGGGACCATATATCTGTGTCAATAACACATCTGGAGCTCCAGTCAGCTGTTTCAAGCATGTAAGTATGAGCAACACCCAGAAGAGCTGAAACCAGTGTTATTCATTCTTCAAAAACAATGTTTCAGGCTCCCATGGGGACATGCTGGGGCGGTATTGAGGAAGGTGTGAGAATTGAAGTGCTCAACTCTGACACCAATCACTCTACTAAGGTTTACTGGATAGCAGAAATTGTTAAGCTAGCAGGTAAGACAACTCCCACTGGAATGCATTTTATGTTGTATTGTGTGTGTGTGTTTTTGGGGAAGGACACCTACATTTAGTGTTCACACCAGGCCCCAAAAGCCCCCCCCCCCCACACTTTTAAAATAATTTCTATTTAAATTTGCTCAATGTTCTTAAGTAATTTTCTCTATGACTTTTTTTGTTGTTGTCTGTGCTGGGAACGAAATTTGTCCCGGCTGTAGTCATCGACAGCGGTCACTTCCCAAAAAAATAATAGTTAAATAGTTGACGGGTGTTGGGGATGGTGGTCATTGCCTGCAGTGTAGTCAGCGACGGAGTGCTCAGAATGGTGCCGTGCCAGTGGGCCAACAATGTATGAGTAGAGTTGCTAAGCAACGGAAGGGAATCCCGTGCTGTACATTTTATTCATAAACAAGGTTGCGGTGGCAGTTAGCTGACCACGGTTCGGTGTAACGAAGTCCTTTAAACTATTTTGTGGCAAAAATCTGATCATGGCGGTCGGGTGGTTAGCGCGTCGACCTCACAGTGCAGAGGTACCGGGTTCAGGTCTAGCTCCGGCCTTACTGTTTGGAGTTTGCATGTTCTCCTCATGCCTGTGTGGGTTTTCTCCGGGTACTACGGTTTCCTCCCACATTCCAAAAACGTGTGGCAGGCTGATTGAACATTCTAAATTGTCCCTAGGTGTGAGTGCGAGCGCGGATGATTGTTTGTCTCTGTGTGCCCTGTCATTGGCTGGCGACCGGGTCAGGGCGTCCCCCGCTTACTGCCAAAAGACGGCTGGGATAGGCTCCAGCTCCCCCCGCGACCCTTGTGAGGATAGAGTGGATCAGAGAATGGATGGATGGATGGAAATCTGATCGTTATAATGACGTTTACATTTTTATGCTGGACTTTGAAATGTGAACATTAGGCGCAGAAAAAAAATGGTGTGTTTCCAGTAACCCGACTGACCGAGAATTTCTACGTCGAAAAAAAACTTTACGGTTGGCATTTTTTTCAAACAACCCTCTACATTTTTGTGTAGAGCATTTATATCAGTGCAAACTCTCGCGATATTCACGTTGAGCGCGTGCGTCGTTTGCCCTGTCGTCTGTCAACAACATTGAATCATGGCGGCGGCCACGATCTCCGACAACAGTTTAAACCGCGTTTTCTGTGTTGCAGTCGCATGCTCCCACCGTGTCGACCAGTAATTTAACGAAAATACCATCCATTGATGTATCGAAAAAATTCAGCGAACTATTTGATGAACACCACGGGCCGAGTAAAAACCGAGGGCGGAGGAGGACGGCGGAGGAGGCGGTGGCGCGCCCCGGCCACCCGAGTCCGGAGCGGGGAGAAAACTAAATAGGTGCGCGTCGCGCGGCCGGCTGCTCCCTGTCCTGCCCATCTCCCCCACCCCCGGTCAGGTGCCCGTCGGCGTTCCCCGACCGCCCACTCCGCTGACCCGCGCGCTCGTCAACGCACCGCCCACCAAGTCTACACAACTCTAGTCCAGGCTGGGCCGCGGCCGGCGTCAGGGACCTCTCCCCGCCGGTGCCATCGCGACCCGGCCGACCTCGGAACCTAACACCAAGCTGG